GACAATAGTTTGCTTAATTTAATGAACATTTAAGTGATTATATTTAGTGATCTATTATTACACATTTACGTTTTTTTGCTACTTGTTAGACGAATTTTAAAAATATCAGTTCCTGCAGAAAACCTTCGCTCAAGTTCATTTTATTTACAGATTGATGAGAATTTCCTTCAAAAAATATTTGTAAAAGAAAGATTATTAAAGAAAAAAAAATATTTTTATGTGTTTTAGATCATATTTCATTTGCTATTAAAGAAGTTTTGAAGTATGTTTTAAAGAAGTATAAGATGTAAAAAGAAGATAATAATTTTTTAAAAGGCATGCCAGGGAAGACTGTTTAAAGAAGAAAAAACAATGAATGAAAATCATCAAATTAAAATATACCTGCAGGGTATTTATTTTTTAACTCACCAACATTTTGTTCACAACACTTGCTTTATACTTAGGTGCTTCATTGTTTAAAATGCTAGTTATTGGATTGCAAGTATGCAGGCATTTTCTTCTCAAAGTTGTAATGATCTTAGTAGTTGCATGTGGCCATTATTGAAGTTTTTTAATTTTTTATTTTTTTATTATTATTATTTTAATAATTTAATTGTTCTATTGCTTTCAAATAATTTAGGGCATCAATTTGTATTTTCTATTCTTATGGAGCGATCAATTTGTATTTTCCATTCAATTTTAGTCAAGTTTTGTCGAATTATTATAAGGTTTATTATATAGTTATTAATTTTTTTCCTATGCCCTTTTCAGACCTCCAGTCTTTTCCTTTGATGCCTTTAAGTTCAAAATCTTTGAAGCAAATACCTTTCTCAAAATCATCATAAAAGGAGATTTAATTATATTGTTTACTTTTTTCCATCACTTCATTTCTCTTTGCTATGTGCCTAACATGGATTCATTGCCTTCACTGGAACTGTAGTTGCACTGTATTATTGCAGAAATGCACTTCAAACCGAAATGTATGAGCGTGAGAGAATGTGTCGTGCAGCAGCTGGGGCCCAGAATAGCCGGGGTGGGCAGCAAGAAGAGGAGTGGGAATGGACTCGTGAGTCAACTCGCCTTAGGGCTAGGTATGTTGCACAGGGGCAAGTTTTGAACCAGCATCTTAATCATTATTGGCTGATATATTCTAATTGGTTCAAATTACAGAAATGAATTTGTGAATACTGCATTGTTATTTTTAGGCAAGTTTTGAGCCTCATGGTTGAAAGTCTTACTCAGTTTTTTGAAGAAAATGGTTTGTCTAGCAACACTCCTCATGCAGTTCTTGATGAGCAGATCTTTAGTAAGTTGATGAGAAAAGTTGGAAGTCATTGCATTGTATGGAAATGTATATTGTTACTTAATAATAACTGGATATGTGAAGTGACAGCAGATGGAAATTTTTTTCCAGATCTTCATGTCCTTTTACAACTGGCTCTTGAATTAACTGACCTGCTGTTGGCTCAGCTAGTATGTACAAGGTATGATTCAAATTGATTAACATTTAAAGTAAAAATGTAGTGCAATTGTAGATTTCTAGTGCTTTAGAATCTGTATTCACTAGTAAGAGACTGAAAGTTTGTTTCATCAGTTATAGCAGGTGCGGGTATTCCATAAATGCAAGGTAAGCATTGCTTACCCAAGTAATTCAAAAACAAGTTCTACGGTATTTACAACATACAGTGTTTTACAAACTATGAAAAAACCTAACAAGAATGTTAGATGTATTTCCACTTTATCTTCCACACCAAGGGAGAAAGTAATTTCTCTTTCTATTGCACCCCTCCATCTCCCACAATCACTGCTTCTTGCTCCCCTCTGTATCTTGTTTGACCTTGAGGAATGAGTGTCCTGTCTCAAGTTCTAATGTTCTTCGGCAAGGTTCCACAATCCTAGGGACTGCAGACCCTTCCGTTCCATTTGTGCATGTTCGTTGGACATTGACTGTATATAATACTGTTTTTGAAACATTTAAAGTACATTAAATACATGATAACAATTTACATGTTCAGTGGCTGCATTTACATGTTCATGCAATTTACATGTTCAGTATATTATTGACAATTCGCACCCCTATTACAACCTCAAAGAATCTTAATATTTACAAAAGTAAGCACTTCTCGGTGTTGCATGCAGTGATGGAAACGGATCTCCATTCAGCATTCAGCAACAGATGCTGAATGCTGTAATATATGTGACTGAATTGTGAAAAGAATACAAAACTTAATTTCTCGTAGTTTTGAAGCAAAGAAAGAAATAATTTTGAAACACCTGAATTAAAAATTAGGACTCTAGTGATGACCTGCATAAGAAAGTTTAACAGTTTCCCACAACTCATAAATGGCCTACTGGGTAAAAAAAAAGTTTAAAAAAATGCAGAAAGTACTGTTACTCTAGCATTCTATTTTCAAATAAAAAACTTGAGGAACACTGGCAGTTAAAATGATACAGGGAATATACATAAAGCTATAAAAAAAAACTTAGCAAAATCACTGCCACTATATAATTTTACAGGAGACATTTGGGATAGTTAGAATTAATCACATATTGGATGCACTTGTGCTCATCAATGTAATAATGTATACAAATCGCTGGGAATGTAAATATTGACCATGAAAGTGTATGTCAGAGAGTGTGTGTGTGTGTGTGTGTGAGAGAGAGAGAGAAAGCGTGTGTGTGTGTGTGTGTGAGAGAGAGCGAGTGAGCGTGTGTGTGAGAGAGAGAGCGTGTGTGAGAGAGAGAGAGAGAGAGAGAGAGAGCGTGTGGGTGTGTGAGAGAGAGAGAGACAAAGAGAGTGAGAAAGAGAGAGAGAAACTTTGTCATGGAAATCTCAAGTAACATTAAGCTTGAAATTGATGCAAGAAGTCGCATGTCGCCACCACCAATTGTAGCCCACACAGGACAAGGCCGTTGTTTCTACACTAAAACTGTGAGACACAAGGTCATCTCTAAGATCTCCATTTCATGTCCCCTATCTCCACCTTAGTAGGGACTTCTTCTAAAATTGCATTGACAGACTATGTTTTTTCAGTGAATTGATGAGGCATTTTGTAATGAAACTACTTAAACATATGAAAGATCATACAACTTTTAATTTTATCAGAGAATGTCATGTTTGGAAAAAGAATGTGAATTTCCATTATAAATTTTTGGCTATTGTGTTTATTTTTTTCCTGTTATTTATACTTACTTTTCTCTTCAGGAGAGAGCTGGAGCATCAGTGGGTACATCGGTTACGTAGTCCCGTTGCCTTAGCAGCTGATGATCACCATCCTAGGGATTCTGATCGGGAAAGAGATTTAAGATCAAGAGGAAGGCAAGATGAATCTAGTGGCTGCTTGAGATTGTCACCATATCGGCGACTGTACAGACATAGATTGTCTGTTGATGGAGATGGAAACAATCGACCAGAAAGATCATCTCTACGGGGCAGCAGAACGGAATATAGTCGACGCCTGAATTCTCGTGTAATGAATTGTCTTGCTAGGCACAACCGACTGTCCCCTCATTCTGGGAGTACTCATAATACCAGTGTGCGACCAGGCAGAAGTACTTATGGAAGACCTATTACAAGACCTGTTATGACCCGATCCAGTGTTCCTGGCCATATCCCTAGTCATCTGATTACAAATCCGCGTGTCTCAGTACGCCGTGTTGATGCTGATAGTACCAGTAATGATGCTAATGCTGGAAACGATAGCAATGTGGAAAGGCCACATGCATCAACCAATGAGGCTAGCAGTTCCTCGTCATCAAACATTCCTTCATCGCAATCACACGATGCTTTCACTGTGCCCCTAGTCCGTGTGAATGATGTTTTGATTCCTGACACTTCTCTTTTGAACCAGCCTAGAACTCGCCCCCAGTCACCTCCTCTCCTTCATCCCAATTCCCCATTTGCAAATCCATTTTCCCAGGTTGGTGCATCTGAGCAGCGGACGAGGAGTTCTCCTTGGGACTATTGGCCCTATGTGCCAGGTGCAAGCTGGCGACCTCGTTTCCTGCATCCACGTTACATGGGGCCCAATATATTCAATGATGATACAGAGGAGCCTGTGCCAAATCCAGATTTTGGTTATTTCAGAGGTAACAGTGAATAAAATTTTCTATTGTGAGCTGTTTAATGCAAATAGTGTTGTTCACTATATTTTTAAACTCTTTTCAGCTAACACTGTTCCAGAAACTGTTATCATTACCGATGCTCCTATGACTCCTAATCACAGGATCCAAGTGTGGGATTTTTCTAAATTCCAAATCCCAGACATCAGTAACGGTATGTACTAAATCAATGACTTGATAATGTGTAATATGAAAACTACAGTAAAACACAGTTGTAATGAAGATAAATTTTAAGATTATTAGCTGTACAAAACTTGTTTTACTAGATGCAGTATGTGCTGCTAGGTTGTAGATGTTCTTGATACTTAAAGACTACTGCTCCTGTTAACGCTCCTCTTACTGCTATCACTCCTGTGCCTACTCGAGCTCTTGCTAGTGTTAGTGCTAGTGGTACTGTTATTAATATATTAAAATAATTCAACATTCCAAGCTTTAGAGAGCAGGTCTTCTAAAGTCTCTCTTATTGCAATAACGACTGTTTGATCAAAGGAATCAACAAATAATTTTTAATCTCTGTTTATATAAATGAGTTAGTGAATTTGCTAGCCTATTCTTAATGAATTCTGTATGTTTTAGCTGAAAAAAATGTGATAGTCCCAGAATGTAAAATTCAAAACGATGCTAGCGTTGATGTGTCTAAAGATGGTCGTTTATTGGTAACACTGTTACCATCAGGACGTCAGAGTATTACTACAATGTTGGGTAAGTTGTTAATACATACATGTGATGTCATTATAATGACAAGATTTCTTGGAAAATATTCGTCAACATTCCTGAACTTTGCAGTATTTTGTGAAAGTTTTCCCTTTTGTTTCTCTTAAGATAACCCCTCTCTCTCTTCTGTGGCATGATACTACTCATTTTAAGACTTACAAATAGTATTGTTTTGCTTCATGTAGGTGTCTACAGCTTGCAGTGGGAATCTCTGGGACAGTGTCTGTATACAACAAGTTTCCTGCAGAGTGCTGTTTCAGTGAGCTTGTCCCCAGCAAGTCGTTACTTATTGGTGGGTTTAGCTTCTCGACGAGTTGCTCTTCTTCCCAATGACAGGCATTACATGGCCCAAGTGTTTCGACTGGATGGTGGAAAACCGGGACGCAGTGTTGGTGGCCGTGGTCGACTACGTCACATGCGGGACATAGAGCAAATTCGTGACCAGGGATACATGAGTCTCAACTGCATAAGGTGGGCTCCTGGCCCTGGACAAGGGTTTGTGTATGGAACTAATACTGGACAGTTAAAAGTTCTCCGGTAGAATTGTGATTGAGGTGACTAGGCTGTAATGTTGGTAGTCAGATGTAATCGACTCTGAAATAATAATCATTGGAAGGTGCTATGGAGCAGCTGAAAAGGATTGTATATAGATCTGCACACTTAATATATATAATTGGTTCTCAATATTAATGGTGTAACAATGTTTATTGCTTATTTGACAGATTTCTAGTGAGTTATTGTATCATGTTCTAATGTCTACATTTATTATGAGTAGAAAGTTGCTGCTTAGTTCATGTTTTTAGATACTATATGTATGTTGATTTGAATGCAATATACTTCTCCAGAGAGATGTGTATGAAAATTTCTACATATATTTATTGCTTTTTAAGGTGCAGATGTGCAATGCTATGAATGCACGTGATTGTGTTATCTTAAGCTGCTAATGTGCAGTGGATACTTGTTATTTGTTCCTGTACATGATGTAATGTTTGCAAATCTGACTTTTGTGTCATTTCCAATATAAAATAAAACAGTGGAATTGTCCTGCATCATGAGCAAGTGTTTTATTTATGTTTTCTGCAAAGGTGTGAGGACATGTATGCCAGAAGAGAACTTGGCCTTTCTCTCACGTCTTAGAAAACTGTAGACAATTCCTTGAAGGAACAATTATCCGAAAATTCAACACCATCAGAAACTAAATCTGTTTTTTCCCCCTCAGGGCCCCAGCTTCAACAAATCTGTTTTTCTCGCCCCAACTGGCTTTCCATCTACTCCCTCTTATCCATAAGTAGGGTCTTGGGATGGGGCGTCTCCCATTCCCTCAACATTTTCCTCTTTCTATAGTTCACCAGGCAGGACCCTACTTTTTGACAATCAGTTGAGGTAGGCCCTTCTTAGCTAGTTCCTCAATTATTGCCTATCCTTAGCAGAATAATAATTAATGATCGGTGTAGGAAATTATTGATGGAGAATACTTGTAGAATCAACATACCGCGAACCTGCTGTGTCCACGTCAGGATTGATGGCATCAGCGATGGAATGTGTGCAGTCTTTCAATGAAACCCTAAAAATAGTAAAATAAAAAATTAATATTTGGTTTAGTTTATATAATAATAGTTTTGATATCTGCAATTGTCAAAACTTAATATCTGACTTTGAATGCAAGTTCAAAGACCTGGAAAGCCTATAAATCACATCAATAATCGATATTTTATAAAATTAATAATTAACATGGGTTAATGACAGATTTTGACAGCAGGAATTATCTGCAATCAAATTCTGACACCAGAGTTCAACGGCACCAGAACACAAGTTATCCCAATTATCGACATCAGGTCAATGGCAAGAGACCCAAATGTTCAAGTTGTGAGGAGCAATGGACATCGTAAGATGTCGAGTGTTTTTGAGATTTTAATTCTTTGAATGTATTTTCGGGGAACTTACTCCATTATCCATGTTCACCTAAGAAATGGCTTTTGCGAGAGTTATAGTGCCTTTAAGAGATAATTTCCTATTCAAGCATTAAGAGTGCCAACAATTGCCTAATAGTGCCTATTTTTATTTTTCCGCACTATTTTATATTTTTTGTTTCTATTATTTCGTATTTTGCAATACTTTGTTGAGAATGTTTTACCATACTAGTGATAACCCCGTAAAATTGAACAGGGCATCGTCCAATCGAGAAGCTCTACGACCTGTGTTCTAGTGACGCGGCGAGTAGGGTCACAGCTTAGAATGTACGTGAATTTGACACCGTGAAAAAAGCTTATCTATCTGCGTCCCCTCCAATTAGGCAGTAATCCCACCCCTGTTACCCATATTAAAAATGGATCTCCCTTCTATACCTTAGTTACAAAGTTTACCGAAATGTAACCCCCCTTAAGTCTCCTCATGAGGGATTCCTTCCCCCAAAATGTGATTTTTAGAATTAATATAAACTTAATGCCAATAACTTAAGCCAACAATACAAATATAAAGTGTGAATTGAACTTTGTGTAACCTGAAAATGTGAATAATAAAAAAAAAGAGGCACAGGAAATTCCTATTGTCTTTCCGATCTTCGCCATCATTAGTGAGCCATAGCTCTACCACATTGGGCCCCTTCTCACGACACCACCGTTGCGCGCTTCCGAACGCAGAGGCTAGTAGCAGAGCATTGGTTTGAATGGAGATCATCCCACGTGCCGCGGGTTTGCGGCGTTGGGCGCTCCGTGAAGCGCAAGAGGGCATAGGCCCCACAGCGGCGCGCTTCGGATAAGCGGCAAGGCTCTTCCGACGTCACCACAGCTGCACGCCACAGTTGGACCGCCGTGGAAGGAGGTGGGTTCTGCATGGGTAGGTTTCAAGGAACCACCGGCGACGACAAAGGGACCGCAGCAGTTAAAATGCCGCGACTGGCGGCGCAGTGGGTTTACCATCATTTAAAGCTGTGTTCTGCTAGCAGCGGCGCGTAAGGCTTCCTGCGCTACTGGTAGCGAGTCCGGCGCCGTACCCCACAACGCAAAATACGCGACGCAAACCCACCGCACGTGGGAAGATCTCCATTCAAACCAATGCTCTGCTACGAGCACCGGTGTTCGGAAGCGCGCAGCGGGGGCGACGTGAGAAGGGGACCTAAATGATGTCTCTCTCAGTGGCGGCGTGGGAAGAGCCTTCCCGCTTATCGGAAGCGCGCCGCTGTGGCGTGTGAAGTCGCCCAAGAACACGTTTCACTGCGCATGCCCGTAGTTTCCATAGCTACAAACATTTCTCCGCCTGCCTGCGCTCTTTGTCACAATTCTCTCGCTCTTTTTCGTGGGCCGCACGGTAATTCAACATTGCGAGTTGGGCGATTACAAAACTGATGAGTGAAAAGATCAGACGAAAGGCAGCTTACGTGTTTTTGTAGTAGGTGTTGTCCAAACAATCAACAGAAAACAAGCCGTCTTGAATGGTTTCAGTAATAAGATAATGTAATGGACCAACACTTTAATGACTTCATTTCTTTGGACACTCCTGGCAGTGCGAATTTCTCTTGTAACGATGTAACTCAGAGATGACTATGACGGTCAGTGCGGCCGCTGCGCCTCGCTGCAGCCCCTCTTTGCCTACGCGCTTCCATATCGCCGTGAAGGGAAATATCTGCTGCCGCAGGGTTGGGGAAGCATCCGAGACTTTACCTAGGGTACGCCCGCCACGAATTCCATTTCATACATGTTTAATCCATTAAATTCGGTGTTTCATTGTAAAAAATTAGTTTTTCTTTATTTTTACCCTAAGTAGTCTTACAGACTACGACTGGTACAAAAGGTCGTCTTTGAAATCTAGGGTTAAATCACATACACATTGGAAATGACTGCAACAGTTCTGTGCATTTTTTGAGTGTTTAGTGTACATTTGTAATGAAAATTGTTCTGTTGTCCAAAAAAATTAAACCTTTTGATAATGGTACCGACATGATTAAAACAACAGATTCGCTTTTCTAATAAAGTGAAATTACTTTAATAATAAAACAAAATATTCCGAGGAGATAACAGATTCACTTTTTTCTGTGTACACTTGGCATCAAACAAATCTCATGCATTAATTACAATGTATCTTACATTATAATGGAAAAACATACTTACAAAATGTAATAAAATAAAGAATTTTACTCACCATTCGTATATTTTCACTTTTTCAAAAATTGTAAAGGCGCAGTTTTTGGTCTCTTAACCCACTGTATGTTCACGTTAGAACTGTCAGATTACAGAAATCTTAGTCACTGAGTGACTTTTTTGAATCTGTACGTTTCACAGCGTTGACAAATTTGTTCTTTTGAAGATCCGTTTAAGAAACGTTTTACATGGACAACGGCCTTACGTTTTCCGTTTGCTAACTAGGCTTCGATAGATTACAAGTAATGCTGGAAACCACATGCACATCAATTTTAACGCATCGCGGGCCCACGAAATGGTGTTTCGTGAGAAACACCTATTTGCCAGCACTCGAAATATTAAAAAGGCGAGGAAATTTGTAATAGAAATAATTTAAATTAAATCACAATATACGTATGTTCCTTGCAATTCTAAACAATATGGTACATTACATAAAATATGCTCACAGGGTAATACACGCAATTATGGGTATGGACAGTGTGAATAGATAGAATTAAGTACAGCTCCCATATTGTACGCTTGTTTACTAATACGAAGTTTGCCTTTAATGTTTCGTGATTTGGCAACCCTGGTATTGCAATCTGTCAACTGACAGCTATCGTTAAGTTGGATGTTTTGAGGTTATACGTACTCAAAACGATTTGACATACGAGCGCTATTTGTGTTGTTTACAGTAACTTAAAAGATTCATCTTGGCCCAAAAATGGAATTAAATCGTCAACATTTTCGTGCGATTATTGTTTTACAACTTTCGACGTGGATTAACTCAGCAAATTAGTGGGACCAACATACATTCAATATTGCATGAACATTTGACTGATCAAAAAATTTGTTCGCGTTGGATCCCACACAATTTGTCAATCGCTCAAAAAAAGGCTCGTGTCGATTGGTCGGAAGATTGGTCAAAAAATACGATCGTGGTGCTTCGAAACACGTCTATGACATTGTGACAGGTCGTGAAATCGTGGATTTACGCGTATGAGCCCGAAAGTAAACAGCAGTCGACTGTATGGGTGTTTCAAGCTGAGCAAAATCCAACAATAGTAGTACGCGCACGATGTACTTCTAAACAGATGGTCGCCTGTTTTTTCGGAAAAACTGGACATGTCGCAACCGTACCCCCAGAACAACACAGATCAGTCAATTCTAAGTGGTATACAACGATTTGTTTGCCAGCTGTCTTCCGAGAAATCAGGAAAACCAACCGCCGAAGACGGATCACGGGTGGGTTACAAATAATATTCCACATAATTTATATTTACGTCGAAAACAATACTGGTATTTATCTGACATTATTGATTCCACACAACATCTTTATTTATCGTTATCTGACATTACTGAATATAAATAAAAGCTTCATTTATTTGTCCTGAAGTACAGGAATAGCTATTAACATACCTAGAAATGTTATGAGTATTACTGCCGATGTCAAAAGTTAAAAATCGAGGCGGGGCTGAGATTTGAGGAGAGCTGAGATTTTTAATTGCACGAGGCGGTAATAACCCGGTAACATTTCGTGGTATGTTCAGCATTTTATCGGTCACCATAAAATCTCTCTTTTGTTTTTTTGTTTTGAGAAATTGTACGACATTACTGCATATGAAACACATGAATTCTGTTGTTGCGGCACGATAATCGACATTGTTGGGTATTGCTTGCGATATATCTATTCAAACGATATTCGTATATCGTGATTTGAGAAAATATGGATGCAAATAATTCTCCTGAACCTAAAGATACTTAAAGAAATGATGTTGAATGAAGAAGTTGGCGCGTCGAATTCCAATGGCGACGTTAGATAGTCAGTAAATATGATTACGGGAGAAGAGTTTCATTTAGGAGAATGCCAGGAAATGAGGTTAATTTACTACACCTTGCTTTAATTACACTAATAATATTACAATTAACAATAAATATCCAAAAAACTTCGACGAGTTACTTTCATTCTGAATTGTTTGATTCTGGTTTATTTTATACTTCGCCATGTTTTTTCTTAATAAACATTTGATTTGCAATGAATCGATAGTTGTTTATTTACGTTGCTAAGGATATTAAAACCAGCTGCTAAGGATTATAAATTTCTTAACCTACAGGTATACTTAACTACAAGTGCACTTAACAACCTTATAGGACCCATAAAGGTTATTAAAAGGATTTAACCAATGACTCGTGGGAGAGAATAGGTTAAAAAGTTTATAACATTTTCAACAATAGGTTTTAAAAGTTGAAATACAGTAAAAACTCGTTTATGAATAAAAGGAATAAATAGTATTTTCTAGTAGTAGTGAATTGTAATAACTCGTTTGCCATTTTTATTGTTAAACAATAATTAATTATTTTATATTATATCACTATTATGTTGGAATTTAAGCCGTCAAAGGTGAGGCATGTGTGCTCTGGACCAAAAGCCACCAAGTGATACATTATAATAAAGAAATACCTAAGATCTTGGCGCTTCAGTTAGCTTCCTTTGAGAGTATTATCTTCATGTCTTAGTTTCCGAAGTCGCGGTTACGCATATGTGAGAATCCATTTCCTGTCTGGATTATTTCACTCCACCTTTGGCACGACATCCAGCGCTGACCATCGACTTTGCACGCTGATTGCGCCTCCACAGAGAGAGGCAGACGATACAGTATTACAAGTGTTCACTTAATAACATATATTAATTTCACGGAGGTGTGATTGAATTTTTTTATAATTGCTCGTCAATGACCACTTTGTTAATAGGAATGACACTTTCTTTCAAAGCTCGTCACGCAAGGTTTAAACGTTCCCCATTTTAAAATATGCAAGCTGAGGTGTCCGGAGTGAACGAAAAAATATTAACAAATGTCCACGTAATAACATTTATTAATTTCATGATATTGTTTTTGTGTAATGACTGTTAAAGATGACTTATTAGAAATTACGCTTTCTTTCAAACTCGTAATGTAAATTTTAAACTGTAGCCGTTTTAAGATAATAGAGGGAATCCGCTGTGACTATTAACGAAAAAAACATTAACAAGTGTCCACATAATATCATTTATTAATTTTATTGAAGTGTTTTTAGTTATTTTTGTGTAATTGCCCGTCAAAAATGACTTAGTTTTGGAAATGGCGCTTTCTTTCATACCTCATGTAAACATTAAACGGTCGTCATTTTAAAAGAGGCGGTCCGAGGTGTTACCAAAAAAATATTAACTAATATTCACTTAATAATATTTATTAATTTCATGGAAACGTGTTTAGTTTTTTTTTAGTAATTGCCCGTCAAAGACGGCTTAGTTAATGAAAATTATCCTTCCTTTCAAGTCTCATCATGTAAATTTTAAACAGTGGCCATTTTGAAAGAGGTTGACCAAGGTGGCTATTGTCAACGAAAAACTATTTGCAAATGTTCACTTAATAACACATTAATTTGACGGAGATGTATCTAGATATTTTAATATTACTGCCCGTCAAAGTTCACTTACTTATTGCATGTTTTAGTTCTGCATATATCAATTTCATGTTTACATTAATTCAAAAAGAACGAAATTTGGCACATTGAAAGAAGAAATATTTTTGAAAAGAGATTGAAAATGTTATGCAATTAATTCAAATCGTAAAATTGAGAAGATATAAGTTTTCAAGAATTAAACATTCTCGATATTATGTTCCGAGGTAATGATGCTTTTTCCAAAGACGTAATGTTAACTTTAAACGGTCATCATTTTGTGAAGGGCACACCGAGGCAGCTGATTTTAACGGAAAAATATTCAATAATGGTTTCTTAATAACATATTAATTTTGTGGATGTGTTTTTTTTGAAAAGAATAAGCACTTTTTGTTCATCTTAATTACATAACAATTAAATGAAAAATAAAAATAATTGACTCGGCAAAAACTTTAATATATTTCGTAGGGTATACGAAAGCGCAAGTGATTGATTAGGACAGTGATAAACAATGAAACAGGTGCATTTTCACTACCTAACCTACTTCTGTGCGTCCAAGAAAAACAAAAACTTAAAAAGAGTTTGGGGCGGTTTTCGAGTAATTTTTTTTTTTTAATTGCATTAATTTCAAGTACAAATTGCGCGAAAATTACTCGTTTCTTTAAAAATGTACATGATCTTTTTTAAAGAGCTGATTTTTTGCATTGTTTAAGGGAAAAACTCTATCTTCAATTTTGTAGTTGAAATGTGAATTTTTTGAAATTTTCGGATATCGTCAAAAATGGTACTAGAACCTATTTGTTCAGTTTCTCTTGATCCATACCTGGAGAAAACTTTCAAAAGGAGAGCTGGTGAAAATTTCCAGCAAAATTAAGGCAGGTTTCTGACTTGTACAGGTTCCAGTTTTGACAGATTTTACTGTAATATATTTCTCCTTGCGGTGAAGTTCCTTATATACTATTTAATTACTTTTGCTTGCCCTGAGGGTAACTGTCTACCAGAAAAATAAAAATTAGGAACTTTGTGTCTATTTTGTTTCACCTTACACATCTGATATCTTTATGCTTCTACAGATCAAATATGTTTTAAGTTTTTTACTCTATTTGTTTATAAATAATTTACCAAAATGTAGATTTTACTTGAGACATCATAACCCTACAAAAACAGACATATTTTGATAATTCTTTATTTAATTTAATCACAGTTGTATATTCACGTGAATTTACTAAAATGATTATGATACTGTGGAAACTAAAGTCAGGATATGATTATTTAAGAGAAAATAATTCTTTATTAATTTATTTGGGATATTTTAGTTCCTGTAACAAACTTTTGGTGACATATTAACTATTCTGCACTCACTAAGGGCTTGACAGTTGACACTAGCTTAGGATAATAATAATGAAAAAAAGTTCAGAAATTTGCTTTTGCTAAGGAAAGTGGCAAGAAATAGTTTGAAGAATTCAAAAGAGAATTGAACAGAACGTATTACCCAATAAAAAAATTGAAAAACATGAAATATCATAATTTTTATTATTTTGAGGTAAAGTTAAGGAAACCATAAATTATTTACAAAGAAAATTGGTTTCTTTTTTTTAACCCAAAAGAAGATCATCATTCTAGAATAAAGAAAATATTCTCAATGATATTCGACGAGTTGTAATTAGTAAAATTAAATAATCAAATTATCTGAAATACATTTGTTTTAATTTCTTCATATTTTGTTGAATTATTATTCATTATTAGAGCTGAGAAATACAGGCATTTATTTTACCTAAAATAGGCATTCAAAAAGGCATTTATTCTGGCTAAAGTAGGGGTGCAAAAAGACATTTAAAAAATGAAAAATAACTATTTAAATGAAATTATTGTAAAACATAATTCAAATAATTTACATTTTTATTCTAACTCTAAAATTAACTTTAGAACCTATGTAGAAGGAAATGATAATTTCTTTGTAATCTTGATTGCACATGACCACCCGGTGTGATGACTATGATTTTGATTTACTCGCAACGCTGTCTCTGCAAAATGCTATTATGGTCTCCTGTTTGAATCTTAAAATGCCATCCATGAAAATCAAACTATATTTTTTGAAAAAGATAATCATATTCACAGAACTCTGTCCTCAAAAGGGATCAGAGGCCAAATTCAAAAGTGGGAAGGCATTCCCCGTGAGTGAACAAAGCCATATGACATCAATGTAAAAAGGCAAAAATCTTGACTGGTCATCATCTTTCTCATCTTTTTGTCTCATTTAGATTTTTCACACTACCTGACCCTGGAGCCTCTGCTACCACAGAAAGATAAAACATGACTGTTTCTTTGTACCAGGCTTGCAGGTACGTTTCCAGCTTGATCGAGATCAGTGTCAGGAGAAAACAAGAAAAATAATGAAAAAAAAGCAAAATACAAAAAAAAGGCTTCATAAGCTGCAATTGGCAAAATGAAAATCTTTTAAAACCATTCCAGAAGTTAGTAATTCCTAACTTCTGGAGTTGTTTTAAAAGATTAAGTGATTCCTATTCTTAAAATTCAGCACCACAATTAAGTGAATCCTATTCATAAAAGCCATAAAATTGTCACAATAAAAAAAGGTATTTTGCCGAACTTTCCATACACTATTCATTATTTTAGGTAATATGCATTAATTAAATTTTTATATTTTCTTTGTTAGCTAAAAATAATTCAGAATTCAGTCACTCAAAATAAGATTATACGTTCTTTAAAACAATATATTTAGAATAACTTTAACGGGTATTGGAAGAACTCAGAATGCCTCAAATGCTATATTTTACCTTATTTCACACAGTTAATGTTTTATTCTAACAACATTCAGTTGAAAACACACTTTTATACTTAAATAATCAGAATTATATAAATGATTTGGCTCTTACATATCATTTTAACATGGATACACACTTCTGCATTTACTGTATCTTGCTCATATTGATTAATTTGAAGTTAGTAAATTAAATAAATCGAACTCCAGTATTGGATGTTTCCCCAGAACAGTAAGCATTAAAGCAAATTAATACACTTGCAAGTTTTAATATTTTCTTTGTCAATGCTTAATTTAGATTTGTCCACTAATTTCCTCTTCAATTTCTTCCAATATTTACCTACAAAGATATCTGCATAGTAATTATTTGGGGGAAAAAAGTATTTTAAGAGTTTTAAATTGTTTTAATAGTTAATCTTTAGTGTTAATTTGTGTCCCTATTACATCCAATATCTTTCTTTAAAACTCAAAATTCTTCTTTCTAGTATCAGTCCGAAAGTCAATTAACTTACATTCACATAATGAGAAACTACACTTAACGAGATGTACTAGTTATTGACACAGATGGACCTGATTGTAAACTTGAAAATGTAGGAAGGGTTACGTTATCTGAGGCTGCAGATGCAGGCAAATTAGAAGTTTGTTCGATGTACAATAACTCATCAGGAGGAAAATCAGGAAACAAATCAGCATTTGATTTTTCTTGCAAGTTTTTATCATCAGTTTCTGAATTAATGCTTAAATACTCGGGAGTTAAATGTGATGAAGCACCTCCAAACTGTGAAGGCAGAGGAACAAATTGTGATCTATGATCTGAATTTTTTTTATTTGAATGCAGTAAAACCGTGTCCATGGATGTTAGAGGCGCTTCTGTCACATTAAGACCACTGCAGGGCACAACAGGATGTTGAAGAATAGTTTCTAGAAATTTTGGATCATGGGTACCATCAAGAACTTCAGACGATTCTCTTGTATAAGCAGCTGAATTTTGTCGATTACTAGGCCGTTGATTCAAAATAGGGCTAGTATACTGTTCCCTAGTGGTTTTTCTCACAATAGTTTCAGATAAATGTTTTTTATTCATGACAGAATCATAATTTGGGGGTGTTTCTTTTTGTGGAGAGAGAACCTGGCCTTCTTCATGCTTCTTACGATGGAGGTTCAAATTGCAACTTTGTGAGAAAAGTCTACCACACTGATCACATTCATAAGGTCTTTCACCTGTATGGCAACGATAATGGCGACTTAATTTATATGCTGTAGCAAATTGTTTTCCACAATGATCACAACTGTAAACACACTCATTTGTTGCATTTGATCCATTACTGGGCCAGTGTAGACTCATCATATGAGATCGCAAAGATGCTTTAAACCTGAAAGACTGGCCACAATGTTCACACTTATGAGGATTCAGACCTGCATGACTGAGAACATGAAGCTTCAGACTTGACTTTTGACTGAATCCAGTACCGCATACTTCACATAAAAAAGGTTTTGCTCCACTATGTACAATTTGATGTCGATTTAGATGCGCTTTAGAATGAAAAACTTTGGAGCAAATTTCACAGCGGTGAATTCTTTGGTTGGTTGGTTTCAGCTTAGTGTCATTATTTCCTTTGACTTTAGCTGGTGGTTGGAATCGACAACTTTCACACCACACTGTATTCTTATCTTCCCTTCCAGTACTGCACCTGAGAAATTGGGCCAATTCTCCTTGATGGCCACAAATCCGACAACAGCAAATAACTGTGCCAATGCCATGAGTAACCATATGTAAAGTGGTGTGCTCCACAGCTTCTAAGTAGTTCAGACACAATTTGCATTCCACTTTCCCATCTGGACCAACACTTACGGTAGCATTACTTTCTGATACAGCACACCCAATATTGATAATTTTCTGCTGATTTTTGAAGTCCTTTTGTAATGGGTCTGAAGTTACTGCAGTAGATTTATGTGAAATTTCCTTTAAAAGACAAAATATATTTTAATAAGGAAGGCAGTAAGGTAATTTAAGATCAAGAACTTAGTTAATTTATTGAGTAATAAATCACGACAGTCATCACAACAGACTTCTTAGTTCATTTATTCTGTTTATTAAGCTGCTGGTTCTTACGTACTACCACTTAAGTTTATAAGTTTCTTACAGTTTATACAGTAAAATGTCCATTATCTAGAGTAATACAAGAGAAGGGAGCCAATGAAAAACCCAAATTAAAGAAATAAATTTGTTTAGTTCCAAAAACATTAATTCAAAGAAAATATTAAGAAATGTTTAAAAAATAATACATATATTAACGTATACTGTTACAATGTATGATTTAACCAGCTCTTATTAATATACTCATTTCCATACTACAATTTTATTTGCAGAAATATATTTTTGTTTTGTATTTTTCTAATTTTTGTCCTCATTACCTGCGATTATTGCAAAATTATTTGTCAAATCAATTAATTATATTAAGTAATCATTCCAAAGCGTCAGTCTAAGACTCCTGTCGCAGATGTAATTTTTTTTTTCTTTTAAATTTATTTATTTCATCAATCTCAATATGAAGGACATCACTATTAAATCCCTGAAAATGGAGGTTCCTTTGTATTCCTTATTTAGTTGCAATATAGGTACGTTTTATTTTAAAATTGACTTTAAAATAAAAAAGTTGGGTTATTTAAAAAAAAATGAAGTTTACTTCCATCACATGCATGTTGTTCTAAAGTTTTCAAGGTGGTTACATATTATATAATAATAAATACCTCAAACCCGAGTTTTTCATCTTCTAAACGTTTCTGAACTTGATTTACTACCTTGCAAAATTCTGTAAAGTCATTTATTATAACCTCACAGTCAGAACACACAAATTTAGGAAGGCCATCCCCAATTGCAATGTGCACTCCCTGGGAAAAAAATTGAACAGATATAAATTTAATTGGAATGAAAAATGTTCTTCAAAATGTTCAAATGCAAAAACTCACTTCTTTGGATAATCTTTTATTAATTTTCATCAACAGACCAGATCTCTTTGCTGTGGGACTGCATACATCTACACCTTGGGTCTTGTCTAGACCGCACAATCGGCATAAGTTTGGGGGGAAACTTTTTCTAATCATTAATAACAGATTATGATTAACTTATCATAATGAAATACGACTGAAAAATGTATTCAGGGTTCGGGGATTACTTGTGCTAAATGAAGACTCGAGTCATAAAAGTTCTTACAATTTACAAAAACACATAATTATAACTAGGAACATTCAAAATGACCGCTTATATTTTCCACAACACGAGTTCTACACAAAACGTGACGTTTACGATAACACTGTACACAATCGACATGGTCTAATGTGAAGTGGCACATACGTATGTAACCAACCTACAACATTTTTGCACGTAATTGTAACAGGAATAATCAGGAATAATGGACAACGACTGAGGAAATAAATAATTAAATAAGTAAATACTCGTATTTGATGCTATATTTTTATTACTAAAATAATATATAAAATTCAACTATGGTACAAAATTAACTGATACATGGCAGTTATGTTGGTAGAACGGGCGAGAGGCATTTTTAAGCACGATTGTCAGTTTAATGGGCTGGGGCAACCGGGATGTGATCACCGGTAGGCTGGAATCCCTTCTCGTCGGAGACGTATTCGACGGAAATGGTCTTTCCCTCGGGGCTGATGTATGAGTAGGATCCCTTCTTCACTAGAACGTGGTCGTCTCCTGCAGCATTGGGCTTCAGGACTCCCTGTTCACTGAATGTGGACCCATCGCCTGATTGATAACTGTATGAACAGAAAAGTGAGCACGAGAGAGAGCATTAATAATAAGCATAAATTGAAACATTTTAAATTTACATATTAAAAGGAAAATTATTTAAAATACGTACCTGAGAGAGAACTGTCCAGCACTATCGCGTACGTCGGAGTGGTGAACGATGGGAATGGGAGGTTCAGCGATGACGGCAACCAAAAGGCAGGCAAGAAGAATAACCTGTCAGGAAATTGAAAGCGCTTTTAAAGTTATGATACATGGTTCATAAAGTTTTTCAAGGGAGAGAGAGAGTAAAAATATTTTGTGATGTCGAAAAATTCGAGATATTGATTAGAATCAACACACCTTAAAAACACAAAATCAGGAGTAAAGCTCATCTTTTAGAGTAATTACTTGACCAATTTTAAAGTAAAACTAGAGAGGTAAACGTTTAGTGAACATAAAATATTCTCTTTTTGAACGAACACGTGGTTCATTAAAATAATTTTTGAAGCATTTCATTTCATCTACACATTAAATTACTTAAATGAAAAATTGTAAAAAGCAATAATTGTTTGACATGGGAAATGATGTTGAAATAGGTAGTACGTGAAATATAAATAAATCGAATTTTTAACAATAATTATCTTTCACGTCTATGACAGACCACGGTACTTACAGCCTTCATGGTGAGAGTGTGGTTGTGAGAACTGTGCAGTCAATGGAGATCTGTGATGCTTCAGTCAGAAGGAGACTGCTTTTATACTCGCAGAATGAAAATAAGTTTTCGAAATCGTAAACACTTTCCCAGTTAGAATATGCAGCGAAACGTTTGTTTTGGATCCTACAGCACGTAAAAACAAGTCAACAGCCCAAGCTCTCGAGCAGTTACCATCTTCCGGGGCAAGAATATTGCTTCATTTTCCTACTTGGAAACTATGTGCCAATGCGTTAACAAATGGTGCTACAACAGAATTAGCGTTCTCGTATTGTTTTCTGCTTATCAATTTTTTCGGCGTCTTCTTACACATGCAATATTGAAGATAAAGCTTTTTAATTTTTCGTATACTTACGTATATACAGAGTAATATATGTAGTATGGAGAAAGTTATATATTCCTGTGGAAAATCGATTTCGAGATTTTAACGGAAATACGCGTTTTGAGGTCCCCTGATACAGGAAAATTATTTTTTCAAAACGTCTGTCAGTCTGTCTATCCGTCCGCCCGTCTTTAAGAATATAGTAAATATAAAAATAGTGAATATATAAGGTCCGATTTTCACTGTTACCACTGAATTTTCGAAAATATGCAAAAGTTTGAATATTTTTCGGCGTCTTCCTACAACTACACAATTGAAGAAAGAGGTTTTCCTTCAAATACAATTTTTCTCTATGTTTAATTCTTTCATTAATGACATGCGCATTTTTTTGAAAATTGTAGTCATTTTTGTCCTATATTGTGAGCAATATCTGCAATTTAAAAAAATACAAAAACAATATTATCTCAAACACGGCTCCAATTTTTTTCTTTAACGTTTCGTAGGGATAGTGCTAAATGCATTCTATAAGATGACATGAACGCAATATTACTCTGTTCTTTTCTTTTTTCACAACTTACAAAAATGTAGTTTTTTGACTGGTCTCTTCCGTTGTTGTTATTTACATTAGCGGTAATTTGTTTATACTATTGTATTTGAGAGTACACGTGCTTTAAATAATGTCAAATAAAGTTTCTAGACAACTCAACCGTCTTCTGTATGAAGAACTAAAAATTCCGTATTTTCAGGAACGCTCCCATGTCATTTTCTCAAATACGGCTCCAAATTTTTTCTTCAAACTTTTCGAATAAATAGTTCTAATTGCACTCTTTAATATGACGTAAAGTTCATTTTTTTAATTACACACATGTATTTGTTTTGAAAGATCTCTCATGACGTTAATATGCACTTTTCCAGCAATTTGTAAACACTATTGTATTTAAGAGTTAAAGGACTTCAAATAACTTCTAATGGAGGTTTTCGGAAACTGAAAGATTTTCTGTTCAAATTTCAAATTTACAGTAGCGGTGAAACGCCGGTTTTTTAAAAACTACTCCAAAATTTTCAAAGAAAATTGCTATTTACGGTGAGTTTACACTGTTATTTAATAATCTGAAAACAATATTTCAGCTCTACAATTAGTAAACCAAAAATTAAGAAAATTTCAAAACAATGTACTTAGGGCGGCGATAGATGGCAGCTGGCAAGAGTATCTGGTAAGAGTATCGTATAGGTAGCTGAGACCAAAGGAAATGGCAAACTAATGCGGGAAAGTCTTTCCAATCTGTAGCACCATTACTAGTTAAGTGATAAACATCTGTTATTATGTTGTACTTTATTTTTGTACCGTAGTGTACATATGATACTATACAATATTATCATTTCCTATATTATGTCGGTAGTATAGACACCTTTTGCGGCTCTCACAGGTAACTAAGCTTTATAAATGAGATCTTTAAAGAAAGAGAATTTCAAGTAAACGTGGCGAACTTCATTTTGACTAATGCTCTGAAGGATATGTTGGCAAAACGCAACTAAATGTTCATATCAAATGCAACCCGCAACATACGACTGCAGTCAAAATATGTATACTAGTTAAATAACACCTAAACGAAGCTTTTTAGTTTCTTAAAACTTGCAATTTTGATGCGAAAGGTTTGAAGGGAACATTCATCACACCGTTCTCAAGGATGAGACATTCTTGGACATTCTATTACATTTTACTTTTTGGTCCTTTAGAAGGTACTTTTTAAGAAGAGAAAGTTATGTAATGCTGAAGGAAAAAAAGGCGAATTTTCGGTAGAAAAACTCTTATTACTGGTTCCCAGTAACGAAAAAGTGGATAAATCCAGTTGCCAAATTTAGAAAAGTAATTCCCCAACATGGTGTAGCCATTATTCACTTTTTGTGGATCCTTGATCCGAAAAATCGAATGACGGCAAAAAAGTGTCTGTCCGTCTGTGAACAACGCTAGCGATTAAACCGTTCAGCCGATGTCTCCAAAATTGGTATTTCCTTATTGATCCGGCTGATGTCACGGCCCCTTGAATTCGAAAACGATATTTCCGTGGGTTACTTTACTCGAACCCCTTGGGACATTTTCAAAAGAATTGATCGATCGTTTTTTTATTAAATTTGGTTGTTGAATAGTGGACGCTTAAGAGAATGGTGCAGATCTCGTTTTCGTTGAAAACTCTGATTTTTCGAAAATTGTAAAACTTCAACATTTTTTCAGCATCTTTCTATAACTATAATTTAAAGATAATTTTTTTCTTGATGAAATGAGATCATCAAAGGCAGTTCTTCAAAACAAGTCAGTTAAATATTTGGAAAATAAGAGTATTTTTTGTGTAATTTTTAATGAAACAGGCGCTTTTAAAATCATTTGAAACCATTTACTCAGAAACGGCTTCAAATTTTGTTTTAATTTTTGTCCTCGTATGCAGTAAAGAACTGTAAAGATGATGGTCTATTTTCAGCGTACTCTGCATTTTCGAAACTCGCAAAAAATTTCGGAATTGTAAATTCAAATTTAGCACGCTTCGTTTCAGGGGTTGCCAGTTCGGAAAATAGCAATACAGAGGTTTCAAATTCATCCCATTGTTGGCGGTCATGATGATTGATGTAGATAATATTCTTATGAAATGAAATAGATTGAAGGAAGGTAATAAATTTTAACATAGAACTAACAAACACACTTCCATACTTTAAGAAGTTTTAATCTCGAAATATAGTATTAAAAAATTGAAAGCTTACTTCAAATACAATCAAGGTAGGATTGTGTGAAATTGTTCTTGCTTTTCTGTTTTCCGTTCTCTAAACACTATAACATTTAAATTTATTCATGTTCATTTCATTTCTAAAAGTAAGAATTGATTACTCTTCCTGACAATGGAAATAAATGCAGAATAGCACGAGAAGCGATTGGTTCGAATTAGACTTTTTCAAGTTATAACTGAGTTTTTATTATGACAGAAAGTAAAAGATTTATATATTGCAAAATATTTTAATATAGTCAATCATGCGAGAAAGTATGTGCTGTTGTAATATCTCTAGTTTGCTGGTCCGGCGCTTATTGATACTATCCAATACCAACTAGGATGGGGAAAATATGGTGGAGCCGTGCGCATGCCATCGACTGTGGACGATTAAGGTAATGCCCCAGGAGCAAAACTTGTTTTTTAGTTGTTATATTGCAATTTGAAATAATTTATAGACAAAACTATAAACATCCTATTTAATATTCTTATGAAATAGGATTTTTATAGTTTATATTGACCTATTTTGATAGATTTTAAATTAAAAATTGGAATTGTAATGTACACATTTGGATACAAAAATTGGTCCCTTGTAAGCAGGCGCCCGTGACAGCGCACGGGCGCAAGGGACGCGGACCGAAGGACTCGAATTTTCAAGGAGCCCCGATTTTTTTAAAAAAAACTAATACTATTCTTTAAAGAAATAAAAAAAAGTTTGATTAAACTACACGCAAACAATGGCATAACGGAGTGATGTGTTACATATTATTGGATAATATTTATAAAATGGAATGTTGCTGGTGATACGTCAATGTCACTCTTGTCACTTCTCTCACACACGATGAGAAGTTTAGTTTTTTAAACAAAATTTTAATTAAATTAGGCGGGGGAGATCGGTGGAAGTAAGAGTAGGGGCCGTAATTAAATTAACGTAGGCCCTAGGGCCTCAAAAGCTGATTAAACAGCCCTGATTGTACGAAAAAATATGTCAGATTTTTTTAGTGTAGATAAGGATTAAATTTTAACAAATTAGGAATATTTTTAATTTTATTATATTTTATAATCCATTTTTTGTAGTATGACAAATTATGATGAATTTTATTTTAAACTGGGTTTATTATTTTCCATTCGATTCTATTTTTCACATAAATTTTTTGAAGAAATGCAAGAAAGATCTAATCAATTTCATGAATTAATAAATAACACCAATATAGAATTAAATTTAAATATTATCATTAAATAAGACGCTTGTTTATTGTAATAATTGTCTTAATAGTCACAAGCAATTTTGGTTATCATGGTAATTTACGAGATGACACCTCTATGGGTTAAGATCTAAAATTTCTATGACGGCTTACCAAAGTGTGCAAACACATTCAACAGAAACCTCGTTCTAGTCTGTGACGAAAATAATCGAAGATTGGCAAACAATGTTAACTATACTTGCATCTGGCAAGAACATTTTCGTATCACATCGGGTTTCTGTTTCTCAGTGTCGAAAAACTAGTGCCCGGAAGAATAAATTCTGTGCCACGCGGCATTGCGGGCTAATCAAGGACGTAAGCAATATCATTAGCTAATTTTCGCTTCCATGAATTGAAGCTCGAGCACTTGTACCCTCGGTGGACATTATCTCACAATAGGCAGAGCTGCACAAAACCCGCGCGAATGATATTTTGCGTCGTAAAGTGTGTAACTTTAATTTTTTTCAGTAATTTCCAGTGCGAGACAATAGCTAATTTTTTCACAGCATACAGAAATAGTGAATATTTATCTATAGAAAAAATAAGAGGCAAGATTTTGACCTGAATTTGTTGAAAGGTTCCTTGTTAGAATAGAAGGTCATTTTATTTCAACGAATTTTAATCTTAGTTCTATATTGGCACTATTTGTTGATTTATTACAATTATTTAAATAATTCAAGTATATCCAAAAATAATGTTTATGAAGAAATATAATCTAATTAAAAATAATCTAAATATTAAATGGTATTAAACAGTTATTATAACTTCGAATTGTTGGTTAGCCGTAATTTATATGCACTGAGTAGCCTCAAAACTGTCAATTTAGCTCTCAACTGTCAATTTAGCTCTCTTAACGATTAGG